CACTGCAGCCCTAATTTCTATAGTTAAGGAATGAAACCCTAAGTATGCTGGTATCATTTTAGAACTTGCCCAGTTTTACTCATTTCTCTGAGTTTTATAGTACATCAAGCCCAAATATGCTCAAGACAAGCCACAACAACAGAATAAAGTATCTAAAGTATTAATTTAACATACTTTAACATGCAAAATGAAAAGTGCCAAGTTTAAAATACCATGCAACTGCCAAGTAGACTAACAGGCCCCTTGATCTGTCTTATGAATGCACAAAGAATTTAAGTACTAGTCTGTTGAGATGCATCAGCATTTCTGCAGAGGCAGAACACAGAGCCTGAAGAGATTCTTCTAGTTTGCCACTGGAGATTCATCTTCCTGCTTTTTGGATATCCCCACCACATCTAGGAATGGCCCAAATTTTGAAATGAGTACCAGGAGACAGTACGTAAAACAGTCAGTCTGCAGCAGGACCAGTACACGAGCATTTGAGGAGCCAAACTGTACATTATGTTAATCATTTATTTTGTAAGTCAGAGTTGTCTGTCTGCTTATCCTCCAGTAAGCACATGTGGCCCTGATTCATCTTCATCCAGTGCATGATGTCCATGATCCAAATTTGGGACTGCATGCATTTACACTAGAATAAATAGAAAGATAGCCATAAGTTAGATGAGATGCAGTTACCACAATGTGTGGTTTGGTTCTAGGTCAGAACCGGCTTGGTCAATAGCTGATATGACCTGAAGGCCTCAGGACCCAGGCTTGACAAAAGTATAACTTTTTATCAAACAAACTTCCAGCAACACTGTAATAAATTTACCCTCTTTTCCCAAAGCGCACAGAGCTCTTCTGAAACAATAAATACTGGCCTGTCTGATTTCTTTCCCTTCGTTCACCTAGCAATGTTATTTTTCCATCTGTGGTTAATTGCAGTACATTCCCACCCAGGGGTGATGGTTGTGGTGGTCCCGGCTGTATGAATAACTTCCTACTTACTTTGGGAGAGAGATCTGCATCTGCCTTTTCTCTGTGTCAGAGAAGACAGATAATCAAGCAGACAACACAACAAGGGCCCTTGGGGAGCTGGGTTGTTATGTCTTCCTGACTTTTGATGTGGAACCTTTGCAACGCCTTCTGCTGGGCTCTGTGTAATCTCTCTCCTCATTTATCATGCTCTGCCTAGGACCCCACACACGAGACCTTTAAGGTTCAAGCAATGTCATTTAAGTTAAAAGACGTGAATTCTTCAAAATTGTTTGTTACTTACGTGTTCAAATCACAGCTTTCAGGTCTTCCAACATGATACCACACTTGTCCTCCAGAGTCCACTGAACTGTTTGTGAGTTTAGATCCATGCATTCTTAATGTACCACCCCACTGCAAGTGGGTAGACATCCCGTTTACGACATGCTGAACAAAATGATATTACAAGATGCCTCATCCATTCTGGGAATTTACATCATTGTTTACCTTGATTAGAAAAGACCAGCCATACCCTCAGTAAGTTAGAACTCTTATGTCCTTCAACATGTCCTGAAATATTTCTGTCCTGCCCCTTTGTTTTTACTAACTTTTAATATAGAGAAAAGAAATCTATGATTGGTGGCTGTTCTCCCTATTTGCCTTCCGTGCTGCTACCCCACCCTCCTCCCCACAAACCTCTCCTTCTCTTCTGCTTCCTATTCCTCATATGCCTGTGTTAAAAAAAACAAAACTAAACTTCTAGAAGACATGAAAAGGTAAATGGTTGTTTTCACTAAGGGGACAGTAATAGGTACATCAGAGTTTATGCCAACTCAGTCCATTGATCCATCTGGCTGAGTAATATCCACGTTGGTTAGCAGCAGCTGCACAGTCCACAGCTTCAGTCAGGAGTTGTTTTCTTACCTGCAGTGATTGCTTAGATGCCAGCGATTGAACCTTAGACCTTCAGCATGCAAAGCATATGTTGTTCTACCCTTGCACAAAATTATTAAGGACACATCCTATGGATATTTAAGCAGACAAGATTCCTACAATTCCCAGCATTCTCCAGTCACCCGTGATGGCTGGGAAATGCTAGGAACTGTAGGACTTTTGTCTGTCTAAATATACCTAGGATTATGCCCTAAGACTGACCTGAGCAAGAGAAGCAGGGCTTTTTGATGTTGGCCATGGAGTGGTGTAATAGTCTCTCTTGTGCTGTTTTTTCAGAGTATCTCAGATGACTTTTAAAAGGACACAGCTATTCGTGGAAACATTTACAAGCTGATGTTCAGGATTTTTTCCCCATTTGTGTATTTATACATAGAGTAAAATATGTGACACAAAAGCAATCATGTGTTAGGAAAAAGCACAGTACGGGCTGCATGAAATAGCAGAGATAAACCTAAAAGTTTTAAGACCTAGAAAAATAGAAAGGCATTCATGTGGCATGGAAAAGACATCAGGTGAGAATCCCTTGGGAAAACATGCCCTTTTTACATAAAGTAGGTCCAAGTCAGCCCATCGGGGTAGATAACCTGAAAACAGAAAGAACCCAATTGAGCATTTCTCTTTTCTGCCCCCAAGTGTGTACAAGTGTATTGCACATCGCAATACAGCAAGGCAGGCCATTGCAATGGAAGGACTGCAAACATCTACCATATATCACCATCCAAACTTAACAAGAGGACAAGTACATAGGGAAAGTGCCTGTGGTAGTAGGGCAGCAAGGAAGCCAGGCAGATGTATCACATGGAGAACCCCTCTGTACTTGATGTTGTGCCCATCTTGAACTCGATCAAGTTCATAATGAGTGATGTTGCTATAAGCCCAGGAGAGACAGGGTGTAAATGTGTTAAGTAGAATAAAATTCTTAAGTTGCATGAATGTTGATACGACTTGCAAGGTTTCACCTTAACTTTGCAAAGAACAGCAACTTGATCTTAGTTTTAAAACCATGTCAGACAAGGTTGGGAGCAGAGAGTAGCACACAAAGAAATGCCTGCTGATTTCTCCAGGCGCTGATCAGAAGTAATGGTGACAGTCTTCCAGTCTAAGGAGGCATGCCAACCCAGGTCGAAGTAAACAGTGTCCTATACTACAGCTTAACACTTGTTCTGGTGTCAGGCCTTCACTGAATTATGGCTTTTAATTCATGTTGTTTTTATGTGTTTGTGTGTATCTGTATATCTAGATTTGGTTTTTTAATACATACGAACTTTCTCATTTGTGCCCTACATTTCTATTGAAAAAATGGTACCCAAGGCAACTTGATTAAACAATAATAAAACAAATGCATTAGATCAAATTTAAAAGCACAGTAAAAGCAGCATCTGTCCCAACAGAGCCACAATCCTAAGGACATAGTTGAAGAAAAAAGTATTTGCCTGCCAGTGGAAGGACACCAGTGAGACAGCCATCCTCAGTCAGGAGCTTCACAGCCTGAGAATGGCTACCGAAAAGGCTCTCTCTTGTGCCACTGCCAAAGGCAGCAGTATCGAAAGACGGGCCTCTCCCATTTAGCTGAAGACCCAAGCAGGTTCATATGGGAGAAGGTAGGGGTTCAGGTAGCCTAGTCCCAAGCGACAACCAAACTGCTGCTTATAAGCCATATATAATGTTTTGATGGTGCCTGGAAACAGAATGGTAGCCAATGAAGCTGTTGTAACGAGGGAGTCCCATGAGCTCTCTAACGCCTTCAGTTAGTCTTCTGGCTACAGACCAGCTGAAGTTTCTGAACAGTTTCCAGAGGCAGTCCCATGTAAAGCATGTTAGAGGAGCCCAAATGGGATGGAACTAAGGGGTACATGACCATAAAATGTTCAAAAAGCCAGCTTCTGTATCCATATGAATAATAACATTCTATCCCTCATTTATGTAAAATTATTTTTGTTGTCTTTAAAAGTAAAGGTATTTACAACAGAAACTGTTCTTTGCTTGCATTTTTTGTTGATTATTTTGTGCAAAATTGAAATATGTGGTCTTCCTCAAATCCCGCCGCTGCTACTACCACAGAGTGTTACATGTTCTAGTATGGCTGGTTTCATGTGTTGGATATAGACCACTCTTGGATGGAGATGGATTAGAGAGAAGTATTACAGTGGTTTTCTCCCAGCAGTACTAATGCATTCGCCCTGGGCATAGCCCTGCAAGATGCGCCTTGCTGTAGGGGCGGCAAGGAGGTAGCCTTCCTGAGGGGAAAGCCTCTTGGCTCCTTGAGCTCTCGCCTTCCCTCAAACATTAGAGACGGGTGTTCCTATGGCTGGGCCTTCTGACGAGGTAGGAGGAAGCCACCTGCTTCAGGTGGAACTTCTAAACAGTATCAGAGGGCAGCAGCAAATCACCCATGGCTTCTGTTACTATAAGCAATATAACTTTATCACCAGGCCGCATGCACTCCAACTGCAACAGGGATCAGGAAAATGGCCTTGAATAGTAGCAGCTTCCAGGGCTTGTACAAGTGTCTGCAAAATGCAGCAACAGGGAGAAGTGCTGAAGGGAGGCCATCTGTACAACTCGGTACTAATCTAATAGGCAGCTTTGTTTTCTCCAAATGTGACTGCTTGGACATAGCCATGGCAGGCATTCCTTTTGGTTTTGCAGATATTTGGGTGAGTTTTCTCTTATGTTTGTTTTAAGGTAGAAACAGATTAAGAGCATGGTAATACCAGAAAAAGCAGGGTTAAAAGGCCTAAAAATTACCTGTCCAGCTTACATTTCTGACTTAATTAATGGTGGCTAATAAGCAGGGAAAGTTCCTTATAATAAAGTTTCAAGATGGTTTCATGCAACTCACCCACAGAGGTTGCATAACACAGTTTGATAGGTGTGTTCGGTTTAGCCAGCCTTGTTCAATAGTTCTGTGTGCAAGTTTTGACATTACAGGTCCAACAGAAGGCATGATTTGTTTCTCTTGCTCTGAAATTGGTAAGGGCTATTTTTCTGTGTCTTTTAACTATGCCATTTTTTAATAACAGGGTGTTTCTGATTGGTACCTGTATTACATACTCTACAACTTTACCTATAGCCTTTCTTCTTTCCAGATCCATTATGCTGGTGCTGCTGACAGTACAGTTCAGTTCATTTTCTATCAACCTATTATTCACCGATGGAGAGAAACTGATTTCTTTCCTTGTTCTGCTTCCTGTGGTGGAGGTAAAGAATATATTGTTATATTATTGCACTTCTAAGTGACATAGATATATATAAATGTTTTTCATGCAAATAAGTGCTGTCCTTTCTAGGTTACTCTTTTTTTTCCCAAAGACCTCTCAAAAAACTGGAAGTGCTGCTTTAGATCCGATTGACACTCAGGCAGGGTGCAGCTGTGCCCCTTGTTAAAGTGAAAAGTACTTGGAGAAAAACTCTTTTCTTCTCATTGGCAATCTGTTCTGTTCCAAAGGAAGTGAATCTTTGAAAAGAGCCAATGCAGAAGGTGGTTCTTGGTCTATTATTTATAATCTTAGTGTGGTCAGAGGGGATATATCAATAGCACTGATTAATGACTTGTCTTTGCACTCTTACACTATAATCCATCTCTCTTTCCCAGATTACTCCTCTGTTTAGAAAGCCAGTTCCTGTGCGCTAAAAGTTAAACATATACTTCCTTAAGATAACTATTGTGTATTCACAATTCTAAAGTATTTGCTGTGGTCATGAATCTTTGCTGTTTAAGAAGTGTCCAAAATTAGTGTGCCTGACATATCTCACAGAGCTTCTCTGACCTTCTTCAGATTTGTGTGCATGGAAAAATTACATTGAACTGAATTGCCAGTTTTACAAAGATACAAAACATCTGTCACATTCTGATCACTTCCACACATGTTTTCCAAATCCAGGTAAAAAATTACAATCTTGACTGTTTCTCGGAGTGACTGTTAATAAGATCAGTACTGATGCAGTCATGACAACTTTCATATGACTACATACAGTTTTTGCATTAAAATGCATCTAAATTCCATAGCTGAACTTTGCAATTCATGCAGCACATTGAAAAAAGCTTCATTCGGTTATGTCTTTATCATGAATTTTGGAGCTATCACTTGTCAGTATTACTGATACACTAATGAACTCACCATCAATTCAGTAGCTTGTTTGGATATCCAAGTTATTCAATATGAAATGACAAATGAAGGGTAGAGTAACTTAACGTAGGCATACAGAATCCTAGAGCACTGGGCAGCCAGTGGCTTTCCCTTATCTGTTCAATAAATTTTGAAGATGTCATTTTATTAAATTAATTGTTACACTGACTAGTCATTGCAGCCTTGTCGAGAGGTCATGCAGTTTTTGTGGTCAAAGACAGTGGCAGCTTCTGGTAATTGAAATTAGGTTTCAACAGCTGATACTCCCATATAGGAAATTAGAGGGGGGAAGTGGGAATAAATGCACAGAACAAGGCTTTTATGCAGGCTGCAAAGCTGTACGTTAAATAAAAAGAAATTGACTAAAGGTTATGAATAGTTAGGGAGAGCTAGCATTCTGTTTTTATTTAGCCTTTTAGATTTCTGTACTACCAGCCCAAAATTGGTCAAGATTTTCTTCCAAGAAGCAAACTAAGGCATTAAGCTACAAACAGAAAACTACAACATGTCACACTCAACACCAGCATGGAACTAAGAAAAGGGAAGAGCTTCCCCTTTAAGGGAAGCAATAACAAGCTTTATATAAACTGCTTGTTTCTTTAAAGAAAACTGCTACAAACAATATCCAGCAATTTGAATTATAATTTACATTCAACTTTGACTTTAATTTAAATAAAACTGCCAGAAAGAACACAATATGTGAAAAGATGATAGTTTCTTTAAAATATTTCTTTTGAAAGACATTGGCTTTGTTTTCAGAAGTTGTTTGGACCTGTAAATATGTCACAACATAATGATGGAACTGTACATTGCATACATTGGTGTTAAGAGATAAAGGGTTTTTTGTTTTTTTTTTAAGAGCAAAAGGCCATACGTCTGAGATATTTATGTATATTACTTGGGGGAAGGATTGTTCTCATTAGGCATTCAGCCTGTTCACATGAGAGCTGAAAGTAGGGAAGGAATATGGGTGCACACATTTATATCTTGTCCACTCAGTCATTTAATCTTCCCATTTTGAGAAAACCCCACCTGCAAACCAAATTGCACCAGTTTTGATTTATTATCTTACAGTTTATTCTTGTTGATTATTTATATGTTATTTGATCTTTTGTATTTTAATTGTATTATTTTATTTATTATTACCGATTGGTAATTTTACTGTAATGGCTGCCCTGAGAGTGTGATGCTAATGGGCAGCCTTCAGACAAATTTAATAAATAAATAAATAAACCTCCGTACTCAGTGCAGAAAGTTTGGGAACTGAAGTAACAGGATGGGGTAGTTGGGGGAGGGGGCAGCGCTTGATTACACAACCATATCTCCACTCCGCAGGTAACACTCACATGTGCAGGTGGGCCTGGAATGTTTTCAAGGACAGCTGGGATATTAACGCAGGCTTGTTATCACACTTCTGGGAGCTATGAGGGGAAAGCCTCTTTGGATGGTGATATGGAGAGAAGCTGCAGGTGGGAAAGGGATTAAGAATCCCTCCTCCACTGCTTTGTCTCTCACCCAAAGCTGTTTTTCATTCCTTTAAGCCATGCCATCAGGCATTTACCAGCATCTTGTCGAAGGGACCCCAACACAGTCCCCTGCAGGCTCCGTGGCACCTGCAGGGGCCTCCAACAGCTCCCTTTGCTGCCTCTTAAAAAAATGTTTCAACAAAAACTTTAGGGCAGTCTTCTTCCTCTCCATTCTGAGCCTCTAGCCTTGCTCTTTCTCTCCCCTCTAACCCTTCACCTGTTTTCCCCTCTCCCAGCCTCTGGCCTCAGGTTTTCTTTGCCACTTCAGCTCAGTTTTAAGCATCCAGGTTCCCAGGACAGCCATTAAGTGAGTTGGCACATCCACCACAGTAACTCTGTTGTGGTGGAACTCTCAGCACTTTCTCAAATTCCCAAACATGCCCACACAGTTTCAGAAGGTTTGGGGACCCTTGATGTAGATAGTCCCTTAGATGAAGTGGCATATTTGACCAATATAGAGGCATATGTCTGCCCTAAATGCATGTCTTCCATCTTAAGACTTGCTCATAGGACTTACTTTGGTAGCAAGTATTTTCATGCTTGTAAGTATGCTTGCCAGTATGTTCGCTCAGCAACACAAACCACAGCAAGGAAGGGAAAGGTCTTTAACAAATGACCACAAAAGCTTAAAATTGGTCTGCCCCTGGTACCTTATTTCTTTGTAGTTCATGTGTGTGCAATTGTTAATGCAGAGCTGCAGAGCTGCCTTTGTCTTTTTTCAATCTGGATTTGTTTAAGGTTACCAGCTGACTTCTGCTGAGTGCTATGATCTGAGAAGCAACCGTGTGGTGGCTGATCAATATTGCCACTACTACCCTGAAAATGTCAAGCCAAAGCCCAAACTTCAGGAATGCAACTTGGATCCTTGCCCTGCGAGGTAAGCGAGTTTCCATTTTGAGTTGCAGATTCCATTGAACGTAAACAACTTGATTATTTTACTTTAGCTATTCAGGGGCTTATTTGTTTATTCACTTGTAAGTGCATATGGATAAAACTAAATGCCTTCATCAGTACTAAGAGTTTTTCAGAAATTTTTGAAGCAGAACATTTTGTAGAAAAGTTCTGGAGATTTTTCTGATTTCTCTGAAAATCCTCTTCTAAAAGATTTTGCAGTGCTCCTAATTGACTGACATCTTATTTGGTAAAAACAGAACTTTAAAGAGTAAAACATTAATTTTATATGCTCTGTCAATGTCTAAGACGTGTTTATGGTAGTAAAAAGTATTTGAACAAAGAGTGTTTATTAAAACAAGGTTGTGGACTCATAAGCACATGTGGGATAGCAGCCTTAATGTGCTTTCAACTTGGTATTCAAATAAATTTGGGAATTTACTAGGACATTTTAATAATGTTTTTGTAACCCTTTCAAGACAAAATAGTTCAACTGTATATATGTTCTTAGGTTTTTAGTTAGTTAGTTAGTTATTTGTTAGATTTTTATCCCACTCCCTGGGCAGGTTACAAAGTTAAAACATATACAGTAAAAATGCAATTGAAATAACAATATAATCTAACAATCTAACAGACAAGCCACACCAATATATAACTTCACAGACCCAGAATTTATCCAATAATAATATAAAAGGTTCAATGGCAAATTAGAACCAATTATAAGGTATTACAACCACTAAAATCTTTTTAACAGTTAAAATGTCAGGAAAATAAAAAGGTCTTTGCCTGGTGCTAGAAAGAGTACAAAGAGGGCACCAGGCAAAGCACTCTGGGGAGCAGGTTCCAAAGTTGGGGTGCCAGTGCCGAAAAGACCCTTCTCCTTGTAGCCCGGCTCCTTATTTCCCGAGGAGGGGGCTCCTTAAGAAGGGCCTCTAAGAGGCCAGGTAGGCAACTATGGGAAAAGATACTCCTTTAGATACCCTTTTGATATCCTCCTTTAGATATTTATAAATTTTATTTCTATACCATTCCTTTAACCAAAAATTTCTGGTTTAAAGAATCACATAAAATACAATCAAAGTACAATATAAAAATACAGATAACAATAAAAACATCGTATCAATTAATCTACAACATTTAAAGGTGAAATTTTAAACCAAATTTTAAAAGCTAGAATAACAATCTCAAACTGAATCACTTATCTTGAAAGTTTTAAAAATCACGAAGCAATTAACATTTTTTGATATATTTTAGTACTGCCCATGAGTTATGTATTTATCTTCGTGCTACCTAAGGATATTCACTTGAAAATATTTGCTTACAACATAGAAATTACTTCAGTTAGATTTGTGTGGAACCCATTTATTGAGTTGTTAGGTAATCTTTATGAACTGTTATTTTTAGAAATAATACATTTCTGCAAAATTGTCAATTGCACGTTAGTGGCATTATTCATGCAATTTATCAGTGAGGAAAACTATTTTTATTTCTGTGTTGGTTGTATTCAAATCCTGTCCAGCTCCTGGTGGCTTCCATGAGGTTCTTCCTGTGTTATGGTTTATCACAGTTCGTTTCTTGTTTCAAGATTTTTTTTCTGCATAGTTACATTTTTAAAAGGAAGACACAAATAATTCCATTTGTTCAATAACATCCAAGATACATGACTTGTCATCAAAATGATTGCAAAGATAACAAACATTCCTGATTGATGCAGTGGAGGAGGGAAATTCTGACAGCGGTAGAGCGTGATAACATATAAGAAATTCCAACCACATGACATTATTGGATGTTCTGTTTTCTTGAAAAGGCAGTTCATGCAACTGAAAATTGTTTTCAGAAATTAAATATTGACCAGGATTTAACTGCTTCTGCCCTTTGGCCTTTGTGTTCCCCATGACCTCTGCTAGCCATCTGATTTTTAAAAGAGCATCGGTGATCAGGACAAAAAGGTGTGGGCCATCATTCAGTGTCACTCGGCTAGAAGAACTCACAGCAATGTCAGGAAAGGGAAGAATGGCTAAAAGTAGACTTGGTGACACTGTACAAACACCAACACACATAACAAACCCTCCCACAACCACAGGGACATAGGAGGGGAACACAGCAGAAGGATGTCCCTGCCAGGTAGGATGGGGAGCAGAAAAGTGGCAATGTAAGATAAATATTCTCATGCTTTTCACCCTGAAAAGTACAGTATCGGCAACGTTGCAACAGTATACAAAGTGACTGTACAGAACAAAAGTTAAATTAAAGCAGTATTGGGCTCTGGTGGTGAAGCTGACCAGAAACTGGTCTGATGGCAAACAATAGTAAATATATAATGCAAAAGGGGACAAGAAGAGCATTATGGGAATGCCTCTGCCCTATGGCCTTACATTGTAGAAGAACCTTAGCCTGTATCAGATGTGTAATGTTTGGTGTCTGCTGCATGGCTGCTTTGTGTTCTCGCCCACCTGGAGCAACAAAATCAAGAGTCATCAAACAAGATGTGAGTTGTGTGCTACACACCACAGAGGGCCTGTTTTCTCTGCGGCCCACAAATTTCAAGTACCATAAGCAAAGAAAAGGACCATTTTGAAAGGGTTCAAAATGCCAGGAGTGCCAGTCCAATTAAGACAAACAAGCCTAGATATTTATTTTTGCCATCCATTTCGAATATCTTACCTTTTGTGGTGCTTATTATGCTAAAGCACATGCACTCCATTTGTTTCTGGGAGTTTGCCTCAATTGTATTTTCCACTGAAGTATATATGTATTCTGACATTGCATATGCAGAAATGTTAAGCTAGGTAGCTGCATGATAAATGTAGATCAAGAGAGATAGGAAAATATAATTTCCAAACAGATGTCAGGAAGTAATTTTGGCTTTTCTACAAGAAAGAACTAGGTGAGGCTGTTGACATAAAAATCCCAAAGGCCAGGAGAGTCATTTAGACAGACAACTGCTGCTTCATTTCATGGGGCCTACCAGAATGAGGCTGCCTGAATTTGACCGTGTAAGGCTTTCTTCATAATTGTCATTCTTCTTTGATAAGGCTGGTGTTAATGGCAAACTTTTAATAATAATACCAGCAAAAATGTGCCAGTTTCCCAACAATTGTAACAAATCTCCCAACAATTTTAAGATTTTGCTCATAAAATTGTTTCTATATTCCATTTTTCAGTGCTTTGTATTTCCTGGCCCATCCCCCCCCCAATGGAACAGCAAACAGCAGCATATCAATGCCCACTATTGAGAGCACCAATCTCCAGCCAACCCCTCGCCTCTGACTGGGTATTTCAGCTGCAGGCTTCTGAGGTCGATTGGTTCATTTCAAGAAGGATAATGTGGTGCTAGAAAAGGGCAAGGGGTGGAGGCCCTTTGCAGCTGGGCCTCAGGCAGTGAAATGTCTCACCAGCCCTCGTTACATGCACACATGCCCTTCCAGCAAGCCCTCTTTTAATAGCTTTTCAGTCTCTTTCCCCAAGTAGAAGGAAGAAGGGACTGTATGTTACGAATAGTATTGTGGATAAAAACTTAAAGCTGGTGGAGGGTCGCGACAGGATGTTTTCTTAACTAATTAGAGAGGCCTTTTCAGTTCGTTTCACATTGGCATAATATGTTGGAAATTTCTTCCTTTCCTTCTGTCATCACATCACTGAAAAGTATTTAACTAGATAGCAATTATGAGGCAAGTATCATGGTAAATCTGTATTCCTGTTTTCACTACATTCATGATCAGAAGACCAAAAAGATTTGGCACGGTTTATACAAGAACGGCTGCTCCCTGCATGCTAGCAGTATGTGGTGCATTATCCATCTGCAAAGAAGCTGTAAAGTGTTTCCACTGTATTAGCTGCCCTATGATTGGGATTCACGAGACACGTGGCCATCCTAACATGACTTGAATGCTTCAGATTTATCAGTTCGTGATTGTTACACGTGCTCAATAAGGGAGGCAAATGGGAGATCAGCCACTAGAGCGGTACTGTATGTTCCAGCTACTTCTTTTCTGCAAAGGGGACATTTGTAGCTATGCTTTTCTTCCATTCTACCATCTCCTTCCCTTTCTCCTTAGCCAGCCAGCATTGTAGATCTATGTTTCTGTCATAAACACAAGTCAGCAGCCCATTTGGAGGAAACACAGCAGTGGGGATGATAGGGAAAGTACACACATGTGCACACCCTGGGTTGCATTCAGTCCTGGCATTCCACCACTAGAATGACCACCCAAGACAGATGGCCTTCCCTCTCATTGCAGCCCTTTGTGTGCCACCAAATCTACTCTGGGGGCTTGTGGGACCACCTGAAGCAGATTTGAGGGGTAAGTGGTGGGGGCCTTCAGGGGAAATGGGGCAATGAGAAGACCTGCTACATGGACACAACTGTGCTTGCATATCATGTGATGTCATCTGTTTTGTGTCTGCTGTAAATTGCCCCCTCCTAACACTGCTTTTCACAGCAGCTGTGGGGATTTTAGTACATTTTAGTGCTCATACAAGGCATAATTTGGTCCTTAGGAAAGGGTTAGAAGAAAAGATACTCAAGCTTCCTTAGAAATAGAAGTAATAGGACAGATAACTTGAGTGGCTTTTTGATATGACAGCCCATGAAAGCCGTAAGACCCATTGATGATAATAGAGGCAGAACTAGGGTTATATCCAGTGTTAGCTTTACTTAGAGTAGATCCACTGAAGTCCCATCCCTGTCAATGGGTCTGTGCTAAGGAAGACGAACACTGGATACAGCCCTCACACTTACTTTGCATGGGTATGCCATAGAAAATGGTTTGTCACATCCTTCACCATCTTCCAAAGCATTTATCTGGATAAGATGCATCTCGTGTTTAAAGTAGGGTGCCCTGATTCAGCAAGGATAAGCCACATGCAGAAATAGATCACTGAGTGAGAAATCTGATCCTTGTGTGCAAAAGGCCTCTGACACTGGAAATGAATGCAGAATGTGCAATTTAAACCAGAGGGAGGGGTATTATGCCCAGCTACACCTGATGGCCTTACAACCCTAATGTACATTCAAGGTAAGGCTTGAAGGAATCTACCTGCACCTGATTTAAATAGCCAGGTTCCCTGATTATGTGAATGGAGCCTAGGCATTTGCAGTCTGTATGAGTGTAGGCTCTGCTGGCTGAATGTACCTAGGCTGGGTGCTGCTAAATCTTCTACATGTGTCTGAATAGTCCTTAAGCTTGGACTGAGAACAGAGCTGTTTGCATGTGTCCTTCAAGATAGTGGTGAACAAGTAGGTTCTTCATCTCTTTCATTGGTGTGCTTCTTTGTCTAAAGTGGGTCGTCAGTCTGCTTTTGGCTGTCATGGTCATGTCAGGTATGTGGTAAAGAGTAAAGGGTAAGGAGAGGAGATGAATGGATGCTATTCATGTAAAAGCCAGGAGGACTGGTTTTCATTTGTCAGATGTGAAGGTGCAGTTCCATATATGTCAAACAACATATATGGAACTAGAAGTATCTGAAGTGAAAGCACAAGATGACTTTGTCAAGGCAAGAAGCAAAAGGGTGAGTAAAGGGGTATCATTCAGGGTATTAAAAGGCAGTTTAGGAACAACAGTATAAAGGCTATAATTAATGCAGAAAAGAAAGGCAGGTGATTTGCCTGTCAAAAGCACCTCACAGACTCCTGTCTGTACTAAAGAGAACAAATTTGGGTAGCATGCAAATGAGCAATCTATTCCAAGAAATGCCTGAATGATATTTGCCTTGTGCAAAATTAATTCTTCAAATGAGTCATGATGGATTAATTAAATTTGGAATTGACTAATCCAGATTAGTCATTTAGAGCAGATTTGCTAAGAGCCACTCACTTAGTTCCTTGTCTGGGTTATAAATTACCTCCAAGAATAATCAGACCTAAAAACTTGAGTTCCACTGTTGCCTTTAGACCAAAATACTAAGATCCCTGGCTAGTAAACTTTACTCACTTTGCTGGATATATTTTGTGAGTCTGTTTTAGAGTAGATTGCCTCTTCCCTGATGTAGTTATTCCCCCACAGTCTAAATCTTATCAGTAATATAAAAATAAATCAGATAAGTAGAAGCAGTTGTTAACTGTTTTGTATCTTCCATTTCAATCTGTTGCAAAGGAAAGTTATGCGGTGATTTTTATCATATACAGTATGTAATTTCTTTTATGTGTTTCCCAGCTTAAATTGACCCATTCATTCCAGTCATCTAAATCAGCCATGTAAATAAGCAGTAGGAAGTCCTGGCCCTTGAGGGTCCCCAATCTGTCCTTCAAAGCATTCTGGGAAAGACAGCCTCCTTCAGTGGGCTGCATCTGCTTTACTTTTGGCATCTCTTTCTTTGTCCTGTGTGGCTCACTTCTTGATTGGCAGTGTAGTCAACTCAGGCTGAGTTAAGACGTTTCTTCAATAGCAGTATGGTTCCTCTGCATTTAGAGTACCATGCCAGCAAATATACTGCCTAATTTAATCCTCAACTGGCCCAGCCTTAGCAAGCATCCTCTCTCACCAAACAGGATATGCAGGTGGCTGCTGCAAGCATCCAAGATCCAGATCACTCAGACTATGCTATTGCTGTATATAGATCAAATTACTGGTGTCACTTTTATTACTTGTCGGCAAGGATGATAAGAAAGAAAATATAATTTTTCTTCTCAGACTGTGAAGATTTTCGAGTGCTCATTTTTCTAGACCTAATATTTGGGTTATTACTGAGACTTGGTGCAGGTATATGCCAGTGACTTTTGATCTAGCAACATGCCTCAACACTCATGTATTACTAAGTGATTGGTGCTCGAAATGATGGCATTTTTTATCTGGAAGCCACACCTCAGCAGGGTGTGATCCAAGTTATAATTGATGCTAGACCTCAACTCAAGCAAAACAGGTGTCTCTTTAGTGGGGTGCCTTCTGTTGTGCTTCCTGCTCCTGCTACCACTGATACTTCGGCTGATATGTTGCAGTATCATTAGGCATCATGATTAGAGAAGAAATGGCAACCATTTTTCATCAGGGTAAGATATTGTCAAATTAAGTCCCATCAATCAATTGAGATTAACTTTATTTTTTCATAAATTAAGTTGGGCAGATGTAAGTTTTCCCACATATCTCATATATTGACTTCCCTAGGCTGGAACTGAACATTCAGTAGAGGGTCTTATTTTAGGGGGAAATAAACCCCCACTGTTTGTAATAATTAATAGAGAAGTTATCTTTCCCTGTGCACACATACATGCATTTTATCATTTTCTCTCTTTCTTACTTACCCACTCTTTCCTTAAATTTTAATTCTAGAGATATACCTCTAAACGCTTCTGAGTGGATCAGTTTATTCTGTGTGACTGGATTTACTGTGTGAATCATATTCCTTGTATTTCTTTAGAGTGGCTGCCCATGACTTTCCAAAATCAGGGGATCATGGGCATCCAGTGGAGGGTGGGAGGAATGCAAAGGATTTTTTTTCTGCACTCCTTCCACCCTCCCAAACACTGAGGATACCCCCCACTCCAGACAAACTTGAGAGGCCATAGGATTGCACACTTACAATATTTAAACTGCCCCAAAGCCAAAGTTATCTGGCTTATTAAAAGTTACTAAATTTACAGCACAAATATTAAACCAAAAATAAAAACAGCATGGAATAAAAGCAAGATACAACCCACAGCTAAGAATAAACCTATTATAACATCATAAAGCCTGAATCAGAATGGAGGATGAGATGTACCAAAAGCAGTTCTTAAAATACAAGGAAGAATAAAAAGTTAGAATGGTTAATAAGTTCATGAAATCTTTTGCAAAATAAAATGATGGGTAGCATTTGCCATACTTCAGTTGCTTGCCTCATGTTTTGCTCTGTTTAGATATTTAGCAGCATGAGTAGAATGACTTAATCTTTTTAACGTTGTGTTTTTGTATAATGTAATCATTTAGTGTTTATTTTATTGTGTGTACCTTCTACTCAGAGGGTTGGCATTATTGTTCCTAACAGTGATGGATACAAGCAGATCATGCCCTATGACCTCTACCATCCTCTTCCTCGGTATGTAAACCAAATACTCCATGTAAAAACAAAATAAAAGTTCAGATATGGTTTTGTGCTGTATTGGTTCTTTAACAGAGGATACAAACCACATGTTCTGGGCCTGCTAGTTCATGTTTTGTTTTCTATATTGTATTCTATGTTTCCATATGAAAAAAATAGAATACAATAAGACAGTAGAAGTTTAATCTGTTTTCATACAGAATATCTAGCCATCACACAAAACCAAGACTCTTGTCATCTAGAAAATCTAGTTGAGTTTGGGATGACATTTCAAACTTTTGCTCAGTCTTTCTTTTCTCCATCTGACAATGCACTTGTATTTCTGAGATGAAGGGCAAACATTTAATTAGATATGATTAAGAAGCTGAATTTAAAACTTTTTCAATGATGAACAGTGTTTCAGTTCGTTAGAGCAATTATCATACACTCAGAATCAAGATACTGCATTTAGATTGCATGATCAGTTAAAAATGAGACAGTTAAAGACTTTTGGAAATTAGTGACTTCAATTTTAACTCAAACTCAGATTGTTATAGGTTTATTCCTAATTGGACAATAAAGGACACTGTCTCAAACATTGTTTCCTGATTTCTGCACAACAGTGTGGTATTATAACTAGTTGTATCACTTATATATTTTAAGCAAGAGAGATGATTCTTAATTGTGTGAAAGCATGTTATTAACAAATGGTGACTATTCTTTTACTCTGCAACCACTTCCATGATGAAGCATAATTATTAAGCAAGTATTGTTTACATGCATTCATTCAGAAATAATTCTTTGTGCAATTATTGAAGCATTCTGCCAATTACAGGAAGCTTGATTGGCCAGTAATCTGTGTGTATGGTTTTGTGTCCCCAAGGCATGTTTTGCTATCCATTTTTAGTTAAACTATTAAGCATGAAATGCATTACTAATTTTCTGCTACATGATTCCATTTCTGATTGGACTGTAAATTAGCTGAAACCATAAAAAGAGTGCTGATATAGTTTTTGTTGAGCTAACAGCAGCACTATAGTTGACACTTGGATCAGAGATAGGATAAGATGGTCATCCAGAGCCTCATAAACCAGGACTTATGCTGCTGGAAATGAGTGTCATAGTTGAGCATGTCTCCCTTGCCTCCTTCCCACCTCCATACCAGCATAAATCCTGGTTTGTAATACAGCAGAATTTCCCATTATGTCCAAACCAGGGAACTCTGGCTTACATTCACTCTGGCTAAGAAAAGTAATTATCTCTTTCAACAAACCTAGGTATGCATGTTAAAATCTTGCAGTCTGGACTAGGCATAAAAGGACAGTAGTCTCTCTGAAGGTACCTTGAAGATCATCTGTCCCAAACCCTGCTCAGTGCAGGATGCAGCTGCATCATCTTTGACAGGTGCTAGGCTGCCTCTCTTTAAATGTCTCCAGTGAAGGAAAGCCCTGTTCTAATGTTGAGCAGGTCTTCCATTAAGAAGTTTCTCCTAATGTTTCACTGAAATTTGCATTAGTCCTAGTTCTGCCCATTGACCAACATAGTTGCAGTGAGTGTATGATCTGTAATATATGCAGAATGTTTCCTTTATAGTGCAATTCTAAGCATGTTATTCAGACATCCCACTGTGCCATGGAGCTTACTCCCTAGTAACTATGCTTAGTAATGCAGGCTTGTCAAAGGTATCATTCCAGCAATTCAATCAGCACCTATGAAAATCAGTGTAAAATATTCCCATTGATGTCAAAGGCAAATGGATCCCATCTCAACTCACTGTTTCTCAAGGGCTGGTTTTGGAATCCTTTCTTCACACTTATAGAGCTTATTTCAATGAGTGATGCAAAGTACAGTTTAGCCTTTGCACGCTTGCCCTTCAACCCTTCACAGACCAGCCCTTCAGTTCACAACCAACAGCATGATATCCACACCCATTCCTATGCAATAGTTTTTCAGTCAGAGGTGGGGGTTCTGCTTATTGTGCCCCGCACCCATTTAGCACATGGGCAATAGTGAAGTGGTCACTCCGTCTGCCAAGAAAGGGCTTGCATGGGACCTGAAACTAATCACACAAGTCTGGAAAAGTTCTGTGTTAGACCTATGACCCCCTTGCCCGTACTCTCAGTGACCACATTCACACAATCACTGTGACCCACCATGCTTTATGTAAGCCATAGTTGGTTCTAGCACATACCAGTATGTGTGCTGGATGACCTCGGAAGCTGGGGAAATGCAAATCTATAGTGAAGTTAGAGAGCTCAAGTGTTGTGCTTTTCCCTAAACTGGCATCTTGCTTTGCAGGTGGGAAAGCACTCCATGGACTGCCTGCTCTTCCTCTTGTGGAGGAGGCATCCAGAGCCGCACAGTCTCTTGTGTGGAGGAAGACATCCAGGGGCTCGTCAGCTCTGTGGAAGAGTGGAAGTGCATGTACACTCCCAAGATGCCCATTGTCCAGCCCTGCAACGTTTTTGATTGTCCTAAGTGGTTGGCTCAGGAATGGTCTCCGGTAACCGCATTCTTCTCCGAACATACTGCAAATGAATCCTTTCTGTTCCCAAAATACTTGTAATACTAGAATTGCCTTGCTGTGCTTTTAGCACATGTGCTTAAAAAGGACAGAAGAGGGCTAGATTAAGTGTTATACAGAATGCCATGTGAAACAGGCCCCAAGCCAGTCTCCCCCCTGGAGCCATATAATTATCTGAAAGTGCTGCTGTGTAGAAAGGCTCCAAGATATGTTGGACTCCTTTGGAATCCCCCGCAGCTCAGACCTTGTTATCATGTCATTATTTCTCAAGAGTAGCCATTTCCCTAATTGTGAAGCATTCTTCAATACTGGTAAGCAGTACAGCATGGAAAATACCATGACTGGCCACACCTTGTCTTTTTTCAAAGTTTTAAGGATATTAAGATATACCAACCAAGGAGGGAAACCCTTAAATAAGGTTTAGGACACTGTTCATAGTGCAACTGTTGATATTACTTGACAGCCCACCATGGTGAGACTACAGCTCATAGGGAGCGTGTGTGGCCACCATTTTGTATCACCAGCACCTAATGAGCATGGGTTTTGCAAGGGTTAAACAACCCTCACACAACCTGTAGCCTGTTTGAGGGTTCTGTGCAGGTTGGATAACTCTCACAAAGCCCCTGCCCACCAGATTTGCATGACATAACCATCCCCAAGCAGAGGTTGCACATTTAAATTGGTGGCCACAGGTGCCACAGCTTCTCATAGATGAGTCAGGTTTTATCATCTGAACCCAGTCAAGTGGTCATACCTGAATGTGGTCACAGTGCAAATGCATTATCCAAGTCAGCATTTAAAATATTCAAATATGAATAATATAGTGGAATTACAATTCATAGTCATGCACTGAAAGGACCAAACTATCTGCAGACATGATCTAAGCATTTATAATGTGTGGTTTGACCAGAAAATAATGATACTGGACTCCTGCCCAGTTAACTGGAATAAAGCCAACAGCCCAACCATAATAATTAGGCAGAAGGGCTTTAATGCTTATAATGACCTCTGCTTGTTTAAATTCTACATTTTTATTGATGGGAAAATTCTAAAATACAAAGCATAATGTTACAAATGAATAGTCTTTGGTACTACGTATTAACAATTCAGTCAGTATCTTGTCTAATATTTTCATTTTACTTTTTAACCTTATTCCAAAGTAAGAGGAAGGAATGCTCTACAAAATAAATTATTGAATAAAACGTTATTTCCCAAAGACATAAAGTGACTCAGTTGGTATGTAAGTACCTTGTGCAGTAATTTTCAGGCCCATGCTTTACTGAATATAGCCCTATCTATTTTGCTAGGAATTTGTGCAACAATGAATAAATCTCCTTCAAGAGAGCTCTGCTCTTTTCCTTTAGCAGCCTTCAAATAATCCAACAAAATCATCATGGGGCTCATAACCAGTAATATCTTTCCCATTTTTAACAATGTTTTTCCATTAGAAATGAGCTTGGTTAGCATTCTACCAAATACATAGAAAGCCACTGTTCATCTTATCACATCCCCAATAGCTATTTTAACTGTTTCTAGATTTTTTTAAAAAATGCTAACTGGTTTACAATGCCAATTTATTTATTGATTAATGATAACATTTGTATACCAACCTTCAAACAATTTATCCCAAGGCATTTTATGGTACAGTTTAAAATCCAAAATGATGGTACAAAAATTTATTAAAAATACCCTGAAATGTGTATCGAATGAATACCTGGGTTATGTCTTACTCATATGAATCTACTGCATTGGTTTTTTTATTTGTTTGTTGTACTGAATTTTTTTTTACATATTTTCCCCATTTGAGAGCTTCTTAAATTTTCCTGATTCTTTTAATGTTCTTGATAGAGTACTAGTATCTAAAATATAAATACCGACATATAAATACCGATTACAGAAATCTCACCTTGATACTTAGTCAGATTTTCTATATACACTTCAGTTTCCTCATCTATAAAAATATTAAATCAATTTCTAATCAGTTTATTTCCAAATTAAAGAACTAAAAAATTTGGATTGCAATCCTATCCATGCATAGTAAGTACTCTAACCGCTGTTCTACACTCAGCATCATCAGTACCTCTTTCTAAAGCTGTGAGTGAAGCTCCCATAAGCTTCGTTTTAAATAACACGGAAAACAGGATAGAACCCTGTGGAACATCATGGGCTGATGGCTGTGGAGCTGAACAGGAATCCCCCAACACCAACTTCTGGTCATGATCTGACGGAAGGAACAAAAGCACTGCAGAACAGCTCTTCCAAGGCCCAGCTCCACCAGGCAGTCCAGAAGGATAGCCTAGCTGATAGTACAGAAAGCAGCTCAAAGGTCCAGGAGAACTAATGGCACATTGAGACTGGCCAAATCTGATAAGTCAAGTTGAGGGTTTCTTAAATAAGCTGTACATTTTTAAGCAAGGGGGAATTAATATAACTTTGTATTTGAATCCAAAATGTATTTGTTTGTTATTGTGTGCTGGTAGAAGTGCTTCATTTTCCATGCAGGATCCACTTCTGGATCCTGCAAGGAAAATAAATGCTTCTGAAGTCTTCTATTTCAGGGGTAAATGTGTCTATGGGACATAAACAGGAGGAAACACTTGGAAGTGTTTCGAAAGTGTTTGAAAGAACAGAGTCAAAATAGGTTTCCACCATTTGTAGTGCCACATTCCAAAAAAAAGCTTGATGCCATGCTGATTGAGTCCTTTGCCTATATATGAGAACACAAGTGACTGCAGATGAAAGTGACAGAGCAAGCACGGTCCCAGGTGGCTGCAGGCCACATAGCCAGTGCTGAGATCTCAGAAAGACACAAAGAAGCCCAACCACCAAATAATGGGGGACATTCCACACAGATGTGTTTGCACATGACCATCCCTTCTAAATCAGAAAGCCAGTGGCACGCAAGACACACAGTCTGACCTGGTGGATGACTTGATTCTGGTTCGAATTGCTTCTGCTCCATAAGTGCTACCAGGACTAGAAGAGGAGGGATACCTTTGCAATTCATGGACGTGGTTTAGCATTGTTTTCCTTTTCAGTGCACAGTGACGTGTGGCCAGGGCCTGAGGTACCGAGTGGTTCTATGTATTGATTACCGAGGGATGCACACTGGTGGCTGCAGCCCTAAAACAAAGCCTCACATCAAAGAAGAATGCATCATCCCGACTCCTTGCTACAAGCCCAAAGGTAAATTATAGGACAACAGACTCTGTATAAGCATTTCCGCCCTCCAAGGAAATGTATTTTCTCTATTTCGTAGGGTAATTCCATCAGTGAGTTGTGTGGTTGAGGGCTGATGCCTTAGGCTTCATTTGTTACTGAGTTTTGTGAAAATGGATTTCATGGCAAGTCTGAGCTTATGCAAGCACTTTGAGCATACGTGAAGACTTACTTGCACCATGCCCGAGAACAGATGGGTTTAATAACATTAATTACCTGCCCTAAGAAACTGCCTTTATAGAAGGAGGACAGAAAGGGGAAAGGAACCACCAAGGTAATAAGGGTCATTTTCCTTCTTGACCTGTCCTGGAAGTTTTCTCCTAGCTTTTAACAGAGCTAAATTTGGGCGAATATGGTTGATACCAGTGAACATTCTTGTCTTGGTGATATCAGTAGATTGAAAGAGATTTTCATCAGAACTGTGGCAGGGTAGGTTGGCATTTATTACATTATATTCTGCCTGATGACCTCTTGCAAAAAACCCAAGGTGGCGCACACAATCTTTTGCCTATCAATTTTATTCTCACAACAACCTTCAGAGATTGTTGCTTGTTTGTGGTTTCTTTTTAAGGAAAGTCTTAAGATGCAGGCATACGCAAGGTGAGAAAAAAAATGGCCAATAGTTACCAGCATAACTGGGATTCGGGATAGACTGGGAATTGTAGGCCTTTTGTGTATGTCTAAATTTGCAAAGGATGGCCCCCTTACTGGTTCCGTATTAAATACTCACCATCTGAGGTGTATCAAATAGTTATAATAAGCATTATCAAGATAGCTCCTTGCTAACTTTAATAATACTCCATGGCCTTTCATCGCTGTATACCAATAACATGATGTAAGGAAACTGTACCTGCTTAATATCCACAAGAACTAGTGCTGGTAAAAGAACAGGCTACATCTTTGCTTCGGGGATCTATCTGACTAGTTGAATAAAAATATCCGTGCAGCTCCAGTCTTTAGTCATAAAGTCATCATTACATGCTATAATTGCAGCTGTGGTTGCGGCTACTACTAAATATAACCATACTCACCAATGGGAACACACAGACACAACTGAAATGCTGGCGTTGTATAGGAGGCACTTGGTCTATAGGCTGTAGTAGACTAGTAAATGACCACTGTCACGCCACTGCAATGCTTCTTCCCTTTTTATCTTGTAAACCCTAAGAACACGTTGATCTGGCATCATCTCAGACATCTCATGTCACAGAGGGCTGCAAAGGGAAGAAGAGAAGAAGAAAGTCCTACAGGAATTATGCTTGTGTGGCATAGGATTTAACCCTTTATCGGGATTAAATTGTTCTCGTATTTGACAACACATTTCCCATGCTTAAATTGGTCTAAAGCTTTTCAGTTGAGGCTGAAAAGAATTGCCATGCTGTGTGTAATAAACAAACCAGTTCCATGCCAGATCAGGCCCTTGGATACTTTTCTCAGGTTTCATGGGGAGTTTGCGATGAGAGAAGCAGTGAAACAGGCCCAAAGCATTCCAGTGCTTCGACGTTCTGGGACATCATCTCTGTTTTTATGAGGATCCATCCATGTCAGAAGCAAACTGATAGACCAGAACCACATGCTGGGATTGGTATATGGCCAAAGGGTAGTGATACTATCATGGGGCCTGAAAGACTGAAGGAATTGGGAACGATTACGCTTGAGAAGAGATGATGAAGGTGATAGGACAGTTGTTTTCAAATATCTGAAAGGCTGCCACATAGTTGATGGAGCAAATGTGTTCTCTGTCAATCCAGAGTAAGGTTCAAACTAAGTTACAAAATAGGGGAGTTAATCTCAGGGTTAGGAAGAACATCCTGATGTTCTGTGCTGCTTGACACTGAAACAGACTATTTTGGAAAATGATAAACTCTTTAGAGGTTTTTAAGCAAAGTTTAGATGGCTCACTGTTAAGCTAGCAGAAAATCTCCTGCGTCCATAGAGGGTAGGAGTGGATGACTCCCAGTCTGTGATTCTGTGAATTCTGTTTGCTTTTAAATCACCTCCCCCCCACACCCCAGTTCCTGCCCAGTCTGCTCCATGGCACAGCCAGAGTTACAGGGATGCCATGAGAAAGAAGCTAGATTAACGGAGGGTCTTTCTAACATGTGTACAACACTCCCCAAGGAAGCTCACCTGATACCTGCCCTTTTGACACTAGGCGAAGACCCTTTTATTTTTCCAGGCCTTTTAAATGTGAAACGTTTTATGCTGCTCTGTTTTATCTTACACTCTTAGATTTAATTGTATTACTATATTTTAATGCGTTTGTACTCTGTAAACTGCTACAGAAAAATGCTTTGTGCTTTTAGGAGCGGGGTATAAACACTTACAAAAATAATTCAGTCCCACAAATGCATTTTCTGGTAACTTTTTATCTTTAAATCCTGTCAGTAAAGTCAATACCCATAAGCTAGTAGTAACACCTAAAATTTGTAAACAAAATGGGATGGCCTTCCCACTGACCCCCCAAAGCATACTCACTCCATATTTTACAATCATTGCATAGCCATCTGTGCAGGAGAGCAGCATCTGGTTTTTTACAAGGCTATAGGATTTTTTTAAAGGACAAAAGAAAAGCAGTAAAGCCTGACTTTCCATTACCATAAAAATAAGTACACAGTGTATAAACAGAAATATCTCTTTATGTATCTTAGTTAATGAACATGATAAAATATAGATTAAGCTAAGAGCTATGTTGCCATATATGTGTATGTGTGCGTACATGTGTATAAAATCAGAGGGTACTGCTAAATATATCTAAGTAGAAATCTGGCAAGCAATTGTTAGGAATGAGGATATAATAACTTTATTACTCCTCCTTCTCTTGTCCTCTGGCTCATAAATTTTCTCCAGGAAAATGCATCACAGGAGATATGAAATAGGATTACAGGTTATAGTCACTACGAATTGCCAGAATTGCAACTGATCATTTAAGAAATTTAAAATACTGCATGGAAAAGATAAATGTGCCAATGATATGAAAATGTGTGCTTTGTTTTGTATGATTTCATGTTCAGTTGTGGGGCACTTCAGTTTCGATGTCTGGAAGAAATCCAGACACTTGAAACAAGAATTGCTGCCTTCACCAGATCCATAGGGTGGATGTTTGTCCCTCGTGTAGAGTCAGTCTCTATTGGGTTGAACTAAAACTTGCATCTTACAAGACCAACACCCACCCAAGCTTTGCATAAAATAAAGGCAGTTCTTCACACGGAATGGAAGGTTGGTGATTTCAGGCTCCATCACTTCACATGTTAAATTCTACTTTGGAAGCTATCCCAACCTTCAGCATTGGGATTCTGGTGATGTCCAGGAAAGTGATGTCCAGGAAATCCTCAGTTCACATGCAGTATCACACAAGGGCCCTGGATTCAAATCCCAGTCCAAAGAGACGCACTGGAGTCAGTGTTAGTTGAATGCTTTGAGTCTGCTCACAAATAAGTACATTTAGACTTAAAGGGCTCAGATCAGACTTGTCGGGAAAACTACTCCAGTGGCTTTAAAATAAGAAGATCCCATGAAGGTTTTGCTGGCTTGTCACTGTTCTGTTGAGAAAGGATTCAGTAGCCTACAGCATATTTCTCGGATCACACTATGGTCAGAGGCCTGGGAAATGCTTCAGCATCCTGTGAGCTACACAGAGCTCAGTGGGTTGTTGCCAGCCTGATTTTACCTTCCTTTGTTCTGCGATTGCCAGTATGCCCTGGGCTACTCTTCAGACCCTTTTCCCTCTGGTCTTAAGGACCAGGATAGGTCAAGCTTGCTCAGGCTTATTCTCTGGCCCAATCCAGATTTATATTCCCATGAGAGCATTGTTTGACTCCAAAAAACCAGTATTTATAAGATTCTTGCAGTGTATATATTTGGTACCGACCTTGGAGGGAGGAAAAAATACAGACCAGCACTGTTTTATATCAAAAATGACAGGGAAAGTATTTAGCTCATTCTTTGCACATAGTTGATGAGCTGATAAGCTCTGACTGGAAGGGCATCACTGAACTATTTTCATATTTGTCTATTTCTTGAAATATCATGCATCACATCTGGATTTTCTTCTATGTCATAATAAGCCATCAAATAGAGTTTAGCATAACTTTTTCAGGTTGAAAAAGTTAATGACAAATACTGGCCTTCCCCCTCTTTTTTTCACCCTTGACCAATCAGTCCATGAATATGAAGGACTATTTACATAGAGTTGCAGGTCATTCCACACATTACAGACTGCAGTGGAAAACTGGATGGGCTTGTGCACTTTCACTGTTTCTATAAGTGGGAAAATGTGGGGATTCAGCCTCATGTTGTCCACACATCTATGCGAGGGGATTGTGGAGAACACACAGAGACTAAGCTTAATCGGCCAATATATGAGCCATCGTTTTCTCTTTGCATCCATCCTTCAAGCAAATGAGTGAACAAACCAGGAAATCTTCCATTAACTCCCGTTTCCTATTCTGTTTGAACCAGGCAACTGTAGTTAACTGCTCTGGAACAAACAGGCCAAGTTATTAAACAATTGTCTGAAGCTGGCTTATTATCCTGCTTTTTCCCCCAAAGTTGTTAATTATAGTTTTCTGGGGGGGGGGTTTTTAGGTAATTGAAAGGTTCCTCATTCATTTGTTCTCTTTGTGAAGGGAGGAACAAAGGGGCTCTGTGCTCAGCCAAGAGGTTAACTCCTATCATGGCTTAGTAAGTCAGAGATGATTATCCAAACCCCTCCATTTGCTAACTGCATGCTGCGTCAAAGTTCTTTACAGTATATATGCTGTCTCCACCCACACCGCCTGTCATCATGATAGGTATTCTGCTAGTATGAAATAAACGCAGCATACCCACATATGCACACATACAAAACCCACAGGTGGATTGAGTTACAAAAGGCATGCATGAAATTACTATTGCATATTTCCTATTTCTCTGTGATTATTTCCCCAGAAAAACTTCCTGTTGAAGCTAAACTGCCATGGTACAAGCAAGCCCAGGAGCTGGAAGAAGGAACCGTGGTATCAGAAGAGCCAACGTAAGTCTTAAAATATCATTTGCTGACATTGCAGCACTTGGTGTCAGTAGCCAAAAAGGCACTGAAACAGTATTTTACTTTAAATTGTATGTGGTGCATTTGTTACCATCAGGAATAACTGAAAATCCATTGTGGTTGGAATATCTTTAGGTATTCCATAACCTGGCCAGTATGAAAGTATTTCTAACTAGAGTGTGTCTTCTGTGAAGAGTTAACCCACAATCAGCATCTTGTAGCTATTGAGCTGGATAAGCTGCTTCACTGACATCTTATTTTTATGACCCTTCCCGTTTGTAACAGTTCAGGTTTTTGATCAGGTCGTGCCTTAATAGCCAGAGTGGTTTTGTATATGCAGATGGCATTTGTTTATTTTGGTTCAAGTAAACTAGTGAATCAGACTGTATTCCAATATCCCTTTGCTGAAGTAGTTCAAACTTCTCATGTAGCTATGTATTTCCAATGGTTCATAATTTTGAAGATATCTGCACATCAAAACTTGATATCACAGAAAGCCTCAGAAATATGCCACCATTACGTTTAGCTGAGCTAAGAGCCAATCTAGGTTTTATAGTCTCCATGGAAATGCAAATCCACAGACATATTGTTAAAACCATCCATCCTATGAGTTGGGAATCACATCATAAGTTTCTCAATATTCCCAAAATTCATTAGATGCCTGCCATTCCCTTTCTTTGTGATGCTCACGCTGCTAGTGCTGTTGTTTATGTAACTACCCCCCAAGAAGAGGGAGGTTCAGCAGATTTTTGGGAACCCCCACATTTGCAGGAGAAATTAAGAAACAGTTTTATAGGAATTTTGGGGGAACCGCCCCCAGAAAAGAAGCCCAGTGAAAACAGAGCATTCTCAGTTGCTATCAAGTGCTATTTGACCTTTGGGCTAAGAAGTGGTGAGGGGGGAATGGAATGAATGGCTTTTGTTGCAGGCCCCAGTTGTGCCCAACAATCCATTTTCAATTTCATAAGCTGTCTCTTAAGCAACCATTAAAGATTTTCTCCTTAAAACATGAAAAATTGCTTTGAAAATGTTAAAAAACAAATTTCTGAGTAAGTTGCAAAGCCACCTGGATTGCAGATTCGGTTGCAATGCTTGGGTAGTACCTGATGGTGTCCCAACACTCATGGAAATAATGCTGTGCTCTTGTACCTGTGAGTTTCTGTCTGATTGCTGCATGCTTAAGAAGGCTGGCACTAACTGCAACTTCCCACCGAGCAGGTCAGGAGGAAGGGACTGAGCACAGTTTGCCCCTTCCTGACCACTTCCAACAACAGCTATTCAAAGTAGAAAAAAACAATCTTGCAGTGCCCAAGTACACATTTAATATAAAATGTAAAGCAGGCCATGTAAAAAATGGTGGTAGTGGGAGAACAGGGTCAAAAAAGTATGTGATCGTGGAAATGTCTTGAGGTAACATGGAAATATTTTGAGTTTGAGAAAGCAGTGGCAGGTGATGGGGGAGGAACTCTAGATTCCAGTGAATGAGCTATTTTATGCAATGTGTCACAAATCTAATCTCTTCCCAAGTCCCTGTGTGCAACCCCAGTCTGATCTGAAACTTCTTCCTAACACTGAAAATACATACAGAAACACACACGCTGTTATTCTAAACATCTTGATGTACAAGATTAGCATTAGCTACATCTGTTAGTAGGTTAAAATTGCTACAACACAGGGATGCATTTATTAATTGAAAATAATCCAGCGATTTGGGAGCAACCTTATGCATTTCGAAGAAAGAAAAGTGCTTCAAAACTCCAGTGCCCTGCTGGCACAGGCCCAGCAGAATGGACAAAGTGACAGGAATGTTTTTTGCCTCACCATCTGCTTTTCTGTTTCTTTTCTCACTGGATGCACTTTTGAATACATCTAGTGGAGCCATGGGAATAAGAGCTGGACCATTTGGCTCCTCAGTGCTTCCTTCCCCACTCCCTTCATTCTTCTTTGCATCAGGGCTCTGACTTGGGGTGAGAAAGCCACCACAGTGCTTTGTTCAGCAGCTGTAAGAGATGAAGGGAAACGATTCCTGTTCGGATTTCCCCTTCTGAGGTCATAGCAATATCTGTAGCCTTGGAGAGGGAACTATGAAATATATAGGGACTATCAGATCGCTCACTTCTGTATTGTCTCTGTCCTCTAATCAAGGCTTTTTACTCCTGAATGTTTGTCTCCAAATGATGAGAAGGTTACAGTAAGGCAGAAGTGGGGAGTCTGTTAATTAAGTCTCCCCAGGAGGACTTTAAAAAGCTATCCTTCTGAAATTCACCTTGCATCAAACCTCACCTTGTTCAAAATCTCATCCCTGCTTTTACACATTCTTACATTCCTCAGTAGGTGAAAAGAATAAAGGCTTAAATGTCGTGGGAGGAAAAAGTCTTTCCTGACCATAACAGGTCACTACTGAGCCATCAGAAATGTATTATATAGTACACCTCATAAATTTGTCTAGCACAGTTTTAAAGCCAATGAGGTTGTTAGCTCCCAAGTCTGTTTGGGGAACTGTTCCAACATTTCACTGCGTTGATTATTAGAAACGCCTTTCTTATCACAGTTGAATGTATTAGTAGGCTCCCCTGAACTGCTGTTGTTCCTCTAGCTCTTGCACAGTGTTATCCTTATTCTGTTCCTGAGCTCCCTGCAAAACAGCACCGGCCAGGGGAAGTAAAGTACGTGACAAGGCAGTGAATAGACAGGGTGAGTGGGACGTGTGTGAGGGAGAGTGAAGAAGGAAGGAAAGAAGGAAGGAAAGGGTGCAGAGGAGGTACTGCAAAACCAATGAATACATCTGTGCATTTTCTCAGATTTCCACATGGTTACAATTTATTCAGCATCTTAAATAGCTAGGTATGTTCAAACTAAAAAGTGTGGGGGAAAAGACTGAAAAGCAAATGTTGGACTTTGTTGTTATTGTTGTTGTTTTAATAAGGTGAAGTTTTTGTTCCCAGAACGCTGAAAGGGAATTTGATTTCTCAAAGGAACTCAGTAAGAATTGGACATGAGATGAATCTCCCAATAATGCTTTGTTTCAAAAGCAGACACTGGGGCTCTGGATTGGATTGGGACTGAAATTCTGGGAAAGGGCCATTTAAGCCTTTCCACCTATGTTTTTTCCTCAGTCAGAATGTCCTCTTTCCTACACAGCTACTAGAGGGTTGCAAGAGAAAAGGATCCTAGGGATGTATGAGAATTTTGGTTTTACTCACAATGCATGCATGCAACAAGCATGCATTTGCCAAAAATATCAGTAACTTGTGAAACACAGTCTCACATTCATCTAATACTTAATTCCCATTTGATATGTGCAGATCTCCTATGTAGATGGAAACATCCCCATTTTAACTTGTGGAAGAAACTTGTTCAAATTAGGACATTGATTTGAATTTGAGGAAACTTGCACAAATCTCTTGTTTGATCACTGTTCAGTTTTTGCAAGTTTCCCATTTGCACAGAGCAAGCTGTGCATGCAAATGGAATTGATAATGACACAATCAGTGAGGTGATGTTCAGAAAGTCCTGGCAATCCGTCCCTGGATCAGATACAGTACAAAGCAATGGAAGCATGGATTTGTGGTTTCTGAACTGAGTTTGTGGCATGTTCAGAGTTCTCTCTCTCCCTCCACCCCTGCCATTTGCTTAGGTTACTGAATAATTTGACTCAGCCTACTATTGTGTGCGGGTATAGATTTCTCTCCATTTTGCTGGTCCAGGTTTTTATCATTCTCTTTCTCTCTGCTTAAGGTGCTAAGAGATCTGATGCACCCTGCTACTGAAAGCTACTCTTTCAGGCTGCTTTTTTAAACTTGGGGCTTGTGAGTTACACAACTGAGTATAAAATTATGTGGCTTGAGGGTAGGGCCACAGTGGGCCACACTCCACTGTTGGGGACAATCATAGCAGGTGAGCTCTTTAGCAAAGCTTGCTGTTTCCTGAAACTGAGCAACCTCAGGTGTTTTGTGTTGCAGTTTGGCTGAGAAGGTTGAAGGCAAGTCCAGGGAAGTGGCAGAGTCTTCTAGAATGCCCAGCACCTTAGATGTGAATGTTTTTCCCATGATCTGCAGGGCATGTGCCATGTCTGTCTTCCTGGGCAATATCAAATGTATCTACAGCAAGTGCAAGCTAGAAGTTCTGCTGAAAGAGGGACTCAGAGCACACCTCTCTCTGGGAACACACCTCTGTCTAGTGAGACACTACCCATGCCTGCTGCCAAACACTAGTGTTATTTCAGGACCTCTGGACTTCTTCTCTACAAACATTTTCGAGATTCATTATAACTGCTGAAATATAACAATCAATGCTGCAAGGACAGGATGACACAAAAGCGTCTCTGTCTAAGCAGGTCTCGGTATTTCTCATACGGCTTGTGGAAATCCAGATGGAGGGCTCTGGGCACCACTGATTAGAGGACATTGTGCAGCTATTCCATCTTTTTCTCATCTCATTTCTGCAGTAAGAGAAAAGCCAGAAGAAATGCGGGGAAAACACAGGAGGGTTAGGAATGAAAGACACCATCAACTAGAGCTCCTGTAAAATTCTGTGAATGAGGCAGGGTGCTTATACCATAGAAGCCTTGTCATGGAAGCACCATTGATTTCAAGCTTAAAGGGAAACACAGTCGTTATAGTAACACGTATGAACTGAAGCCACACACAGATTGTATGCTTGTGATACCACAGGAGATACAGCATTTTCTCCTTCACAAGACACTAGAAGTGTACAAGTCACACACAGGTCCTTTGTAGCACTCCTGTATACCTGCTGAAGCTAAGCTACTCCTATAGTTGATAAGCTAATACCCTAGAACGCAAGAAGAAGATTCAAGGTGATCTTGATAGATTGGGCTGAAAATAGAATGACATTACATAGGAACAAATGCCAAGTTCTGCACCTAGGAAAAATAAACCAAGTGCATCGTTACAAGATGGGAAATAACTTGGCTCAACAAAACTGTGAGTGGGAAGGATCTTGGAATTGTTGTAGATCACAAG